CAGTGGGAATTCCAGCCCCTCCCCCCATTTTTCCAGCATTCCCGGTGGGAATTCCGGCCCTTCCCAGCATTCCCGGTGGGAATTCCGGCCCTTCCCAGCATTCCCGGCGGGAATTCCGGCCCTTCCCAGCATTCCCGGTGGGAATTCCGGCGGTTCCGGGCTGACCTGGTAGGGATCGAATTCGGGATCCCCGAATTGGCCGCTCTGGAGGCGCCGGATCAGCTCCAGCTGCTCCTCCGAGAGCGGAACCTCGGCGCCCGTCTGGGGGTCCTCCACGGAGCGCCTGACACGGGGAGAGAACAAAACACCGGGATAAAACACCCGGAAAACACCCGGAAAACAACGGGAAAACAATGGGAGAACACTGGGATAACACCAGGAGAACAACAACGGAAGAACAACTCCGAGAGCGGAACCTCGGCGCCCGTCTGGGGGTCCTGAACTGAGCGACTGACGGGGGGAGAGAAACACCAGGATAAAACACCCGGAAAACACCCGGAAAACAACGGGAGAACAACGGGATAACAATGGGATAACAACGGGATAACACCAGGAGAACAACAACGGGAGAACAACTACAAGAGCAGAACCTCGGCGCCCGTCTGGGGGTCCTCAATGGAGCGACTGACGGGGGGAAACACTGTGATAAAACACCGGGATAAAACACCGGGATAAAACACCGGGATAACACTGGGAGAACAACAGGAAAACGACAGGAAAACACCGGGATAGCACCAGGAAAACACCGGGAAAACACCTGGAAAACACCGGGAAAAAAAACTGGGAAAACAACTGCGAGAGCGGAACCTCAGTGCCCGTCTGGGGGTCCTGGACTGAGCGCCTGACACGGGGAGAGAGAAACAACAACACCGGGATAAAACACCCAGAAAACACCGGGAAAACAACGGGAGAACACCAGGAAAACACTGGGAGAACAACGGGAAAACACCAGGAGAACAACAACGGGAGAACAACTGCGAGAGCGGAACCTCGGCGCCCGTCTGGGGGTTCTCGACGGAGCGCCTGACACGGGGAGAGAGAAACAACACCGGGATCACAACAACACTGGGATAAAACACCGGGAAAACACCCGGAGAACAATGGGATAACAATGGGACAACACTGGGAGAACACCAGGAGAACAACAACGGGAGAACAACTCTGAGAGCGGAACCTTGGTGCCCGTCTGGGGGTCCTGGACTGAGCGACTGACAGGGGGAGAGAAACAACAACACCGGGATAAAACACCCGGAAAACACCAGGAAAACACCGGGAAAACAACGGGAATAAAACACCCGGAAAACACCGGGATAAAACACCCAGAAAACACCAGGAAAACAACGGGAAAACAATGGGAAAACACCGGGAAAACATTGGGATAACAGTGGGAAAACACCGGGAGAACACCGGGATAACAACACCAGGGTAACAATGGGATAACACCGGGATAAAACACTGGGATAACAACACCGGGGTAACAATGGGATAAAACACTGGGAAAACACTGGGATAACAACACCGGGAAAACAATGGGATAAAACACTGGGATAAAACACTGGGATAACAACACCGGGGTAACAATGGGATAAAACACTGGGAAAACACTGGGATGACAACACCGGGATAACAATGGGATAAAACACTGGGAAAACACTGGGATAACAACACCGGGAAAACAATGGGAATTCCTGGGATGGGAACAGATTGCCAGGAAGCAGAGGAATTCCTGGGATGGACACGGATTCTGGGAATGGGATCGGGATTCCCGGGATTTGGGACAGGATTCCCGGGATTTGGGACAGGATTCCCAGGATTTGGGACAGGATTCCCAGGATTTGGGACAGGATTCCCGGGATTTGGGACAGGATTTGGGACAGGATTCCCGGGATTTGGGACAGGATTTGGGACAGGATTCCCAGGATTTGGGACAGGATTCCCGGGATTTGGGACAGGATTCCTGAGATTTGGGAGAGGATTCCCAGGATTTGGGACAGGATTCCCGGGATTCGGGAGAGGATTTCCGGGATTTGGGAGAGGATTCCTAGGATTTGGGAGAGGATTTGGGACAGGATTTGGGACAGGATTTGGGACAGGATTCCCGGGATTTGGGACAGGATTTGGGACAGGATTTGGGACAGGATTCCCAGGATTTGGGACAGGATTTGGGACAGGATTTGGGACAGGATTCCCAGGATTTGGGACAGGATTTGGGACAGGATTCCCAGGATTTGGGACAGGATTCCCAGGATTTGGGACAGGATTCCCGGGATTTGGGACAGGATTTGGGACAGAATTCCCAGGATATGGTTCAGGATTCCCGGGAATCCTCTGGGTCCGGTCCCAAAGCCCCAAATCCCAAATCCAACAAATCCCCCCCAGGAAACCTCCAGACCTCCCAAAATCCGGGAATTCCGACCAATCCCAAAGGCCAGGAAATCTCCGGGAATTTCCGGGATTTTCCTGGGATTTTCCCGGGATTTTCCCGGGATTTTCCCTCACCAGTATTCCGGGTTTTCCATCTTTTCCAGGAAGAGCTCCAGCTGGTCCCTGCTGCGCAGGGGTTTGAAGATCCTTTTCCCGTCCAGGTCGTATCCCAGGTGCGGGAAATCCCGGTACCATTCCATGGGAATGTTCCCCACCGTGTTCCGGATGTCCTGGGGGGGAAAACCGGGAAAAAAAACCGGGAATGAGCCGGGGGGGG